GCCATGCCGTCGCCGCGGCCTCCTCGTCTCCCAGAGCCGGGCTAGGAAGGGACGGGGGTGGGCTTGACACGAGCCATGGATCTAGGTGGGCCCCCCGGGGGATTCCTTTGAAATGGGCAGATTTCTGAGGGTTGGGGGGGAGGACTACAACCCCCATGGTTCCGCAGGCAGCGAGCCCGACCCCCGCGGATTCTGGGGGGGTGTAGTCCAGTCGCAACCGCTGTCGTGTTTGCTGGGAGGGGGTTATTCGTGAGATTCACTTTGGGGGGGGGAACAGTCCTCTTGTTGGGAAAGCAGAAGCCGTAGGATGAGAGGAAGGGGGGATGGCGAGAGGGATGGGCTCTGTGAAAGAAACCCCCACTTTTAATCAGGGTAACCTGAGGAGAAGCTCCCCCTGGCAAAAGCTGTTAAGAATCGGTCCTTTTTATTCATAAGATCAGCATGAGGTGGACACACATTTCCTTGACAGTTTTATTGCCTGTTTTAATTCTGGGCTACCTTTGTAAGCAAGGCTGGGCCCCACCTTACCAAAGTGAGCTTCGTGGCTGAGTGGGGATTTGAACCCAGACCCCTTAAGAGAGGCGTTCTCCACCCTTGCTGGAAGATTCCTTTACTCTGTTTTCCACTTTTGCTTCGTAAACAGGGCCGGTGACCATCTGCGGGGAGGTGACCGTCTTACACGGGGGTTTCCTGCTGGCCTCTCGGCTCTGCCACCCGAAGCCGTTGTCCGAGCTGGCCAAGGCCGACTGGCCGGTGGTGGCCAAGCCCATTGTGGATGCCCTGGAGGAGGTCTGCTTCTCCTGCTCCGGTTACCCGCCCCAGCCGGAGGCTTGGAAGGAGAAAGCCGCCGTCATCCTCTGGTCGAAAGTCCTCCTCTCCGGGGCCTCGTCCTCCATCAACCAGAGATGGAAGGACGACCCCTTCTTCTCTGTCAGCAACATGATCCCGGAGGTCAACCGCACCGTCCTTTATGAGCTCTTCAAGACCATCAACGCGCCCCGGCTTTTCGCCCGACTCCTGCTGGCGCTGCCGGATCCGGTTTGCCGAGGGGAGGCGGAGATCTTCGTCGACTACGTGGCCAACGAGACCTCCCCGCTCGACGTGTCTTTCTTCTTGAACGTTTGGTGGGAGATTATGAAGCACAAACCGGGGGAGGAAGACAGGCTGACGTCCTCTTTCCACACCATCTGCCACCAGTATCTCTCGGATCCGGTAGAAACGGGCCAGCCTCCGAAGAGATTCAAGAGCGACCCTCCTCCGTTGGCAGGTTCCAACTCCGTAGCCGTCGGCGTCCTCCCGGTTTTGACGGAGGGCTTGAAGCGGATCAAGGAGAGCGTCGTCGCGGCCAAAATGAAGTGCCACGCCCTCGCCAATCTGCTGGAGGTGTTCTCCGTTTCGGTCGCCGCTGAGGGTGAGACCGAGGAGCTCCCTGTCCAGATTTATCTGGACAAGATCACCTCTGTCGTGACCTTGTGGAGCAGCGATTGCGAGAATCCCTACAGCGAGAAGAGATTAGACGAGAAGGTGAGGGCAGCCGAGCGAAGCATGAGCACGCTTGACGCAGCGAAGGGGTCTAGCGGATCGTCTCTCGTCGACTTAGGCTTTCTTCATGCCTTGCTGGAGGAATGGTCTCCGGACCTCCAGGTTCTCCTTAAGGATCCTCAGCAGATCTGTTACGAAAGCTACCGGCTTCTGGACCGCCTGGCGTCGCTGGAGAAAAAGTTGGCGAACTGCGCCAGATCAGACGAGGTTCAGAAGAAAAAGGTGTTTGAATTGTCCGAGTTTGCGGCGAACTTCTTGAGGAAGATCGGCCCCGAGTCCTTGAGCAAGATCTCCAGCGGGGACTTGGTGGCGTCGGTGGCCATGGTGATCATCGATAAGAGGATGGACCGGCACGCGGAGGTATGTTCCGTATTTGCCTCGGAGAAGGACTGGGGGCTCAGCCCGGAGTGGGTTGCGTGCCTGGACAGGAACAAAGCCCTCTTCCGGACACCAGCCCTGGTCTTGAAATTGATGGAGACCGCCGTGAGTTGTGGCCATTCAAACCTCGAGCAGCAGACCAGGGCGGCCAAGATCATCCTCGAGTGCTATGCTGAGCTCTCTCCGGCCGATCAGAACCAGGTCATTGCGGGCGTCCTGGCCAGCTGGGGCGGGCAGGGGCTTTCGGGGACGTCGGCGGCCTTCTCGGAGGGCTTCCCGGAGGAACTCAACGTGGCCTTCAACCAGATCATCCAGAGCGCCTCCGGGGAAGGCTTCAAGAAAGCCGTGGCTTCCGTCTCCCGGTTGGTGGTCCTCAACCCTGAATCCACCATCAAGAAGATTAATAACTTAGCTGTAGCCAATTTAGGCACCCACCAGTTCCTGGCGGAGATCCTGTGCTCTTTCCCGGCTCTGGACTTCCAAGAACCTCCAGATCTGTCCGGTGCGTCCGTCAGCTTGGTCATGAGATGCTTGAAGGAGACGGTTTGGGACCGTCTTTCCTCCGCCAAGGAGAAGGAGCAGTTCTTAGAGTTTCTGGTTTATCTCATGCAACCGAGCGAGGCCCGCCCTCTTCTCCGTCCGGCCGAGGTGACCCAAAACCTCGTCCTTCCTTTCCTGAAGTCCGACTCTCCAGCGGTCGAGTTTTGCTTGCAGATCCTTGACAAAGCGTTGAGAGTGCCTGACGAGCAGGACTGGGTCCAAGCCTGCCACCCCTTTCCGCTCCTCTTCTCCCTCTGCAAGATTCTGGACGGCTTCACACGCTACTGGAACGAACCCCAGGGCCGGCGCCCCTACTCCTTAGAAGCCAAAGACTTGGTGGCAAGCAACGTGGCGCAACTTTGCGAGGCCCTGTTGGTCCAGAAGGACTCCCTCTCTCCGGAACTGTGGACCCAATCCGTCTCTTGGCTTCACAGGAAGGCCAGAGCTTTGGACTGGACCGTCGGCCTCCGCCTGAAGGACATCTACGGGGAACACTTCAAGAACGAAGTCCCGGCCACCCTTTTCGAGGTCTGCAAGCTGGCAGAGGAGGAGTGGACCTCCTGTCCCGACGCAAGTTACGGGCCAGGCAGTGGCCTCCTGGCGTGGATGGAATGCTGCTGCGTCTCCACGGCCTTGAGGGAGCAGATGCTGGTGCTGCTGACGGTCAACGTGGACAACCCCGAGGAAGTGAACCTTTTCAGCAAAGGGTTCCTGGTGGCCCTCGTCCAGGTCTTTCCGTGGTGCAGCCAAAGCGAGTGGCGAAGGCTCGTCCACGTGGTCAAGAGCCTTCTGGAACGAGAAGTCCTCTACGTGCCTTACTCTCTGGAGTACGTCCACCACCTGCCCCTGTTGAACTTCCGGCCGTTCGCCTACCACCTCCAGTTCTCCGTGCTGATGTTGAGGGCCTTCCAGTTCCTGTGCGGGGCCAGCGGGGCCACGTGGCTCCCCGGGGAGGCGTGGAAGCACGTGTCGAAGCTCTACTGCCTGGGCGTGTCCGATTTGCTGGGCTCGGTCAAGGGCATCGCCCGGGGCCAGTGGCCCTCGGTGGAAGTGAAGAGCGTGGCCCGGGAGCTGTCCTTTGTTTACATCCAGCTATTCTGCCACGTGCTCCACGTGGCGGCCATGTTGCCGGAGGAAGGCCCCGGCGAGGCCCTCCTGCTGCTGTCCCTGGAGGTCCTCTCGCAGTACGAGGCGCTCCACGACGCCGACGAGTCTCTTGGCAGCGCCTTGCGGAAGGCCAACGAGCGGCACTTCCTGGAGTCCATCGCTGAGAACGTCCCCAACAAGCAGTTGCGTACCATGCTCCTGCAGAAGCTCCGGAAGCTGTGACCGCCGCACGCCGCGCTCGCTCGGAAATAAAGTGGGCCGGTGGGTTTCGATCGGGACCCGAGAGGCGTTTTCCGGAACTGGGGACTGGGACTCGGTGAGGAAGTGGGGAGAGCCCACGAGACCAATTCGGTGGGGAATTGGGAAGATCTATAATAAACCTTTATATCTTTTCCTCCTTGTTTTAATTGGGCACTCATTGCGCTTTGTCAACCCGTTCTGTTCTTCCTCTGCTCGTGCTCTTTTCCTTCCAGAAGTGTTATAGGGACAGAAAGCATGAGATGGGCTGAGCCATGAAATGGATAATCGGGCATTGACTTTCTGGGTATGCTCAGACTGCAGTGCCCATGAGGCTTTGCTTGTCTTTATGGGTGGACGATGGGACAGGCAGTCCAGAAACATCCAGAGGGCTATGATGTCCCTAATGCATGTATTTCCTCACAAGTGGGAAACGATGCATGTCTTACTATTTTGGGGGTGGGCTGTTCCTTGTTTTGGTAGGGAGGGAATTGTCATTTCCAACGAAACATGCAGGGCCGTAGCCATTCTGCGCAGGATCTGGACAAGAAAAAAACACGGACCTTTTTTTTCCAGCATAAATCTTTTTATTTGTCTGCTTTTCAAAAATCTGGGCTTTCACGGCTCACGAGAAAGCAGCAGATAATCCAGTGACATTCATGTACAGCCTATTATTTCTCTTTTTGCCCCATTGTCCAGGCTGTGCATCGCAGTGTGAGACTCTCCTCTTCATGAGCACACAGCTATCCATCCCTCACACATCATGTAAACACTAGAAGGGCAGGTCGGGGGGTCGATTTTCATCACCCAGAAAACATTCTCGGAATCATTCAAAGCTGCTTTACAAGCTTCCAGAGACTCAGAAACATATATCTCCACAATCCATTTTTTTTTTACTAAATGCAGCTAGTCCTCAGTAATACCTAGTGTACAGAATCCTTGTTCTTTACGCCCACTGGCGTAAGTCAGAATGTCATAAACGATGGTGGCTGACTTGCCCCAGTTAGGGCTCGAATTTCTCCTCGCGTGCCAGTCTTGAGACTTAGCACACTGTAAGGAATGCAAGCGCCGACTATTTGGCACGAGATTTCCACGCAGAGTTGGATTCTCGCCATGATTTCGGGTCGTAGGGACTTGAGTAGTAACTATAAGAAATATTTACAGAACACTTCTTTACAAATATATAATTTTAACAGTTCTGGTTTCCGTACACCCTTCAGAGGCTTCAGATAGCACTTAAGGAGTTTGGCACATTTAGGCACTTCTGCTGTGCTCTGGAGTCTCAACAACATTGTCCAGGAAGACCAAGGTGAAAAGCATGGCCCTCCAGTAATTCCCATCATTCCCTAGCCCAGTGAGTGGGGATTATGGGAATTGTGATCCAGCACCATCCAGAAGACCAGCTACCTCCCATCTCTAGGGGGTGCTTGCTCTTCAACCAAAGGACATCATCCTACACGCAGTGACAATGTCGCTATTTTAGCCTACAAGTCCCATCAGCCCCAGCCAGATGGGAGTTGTAGTCCAGCAGCATCTGGATGACCACTCTTGCCCGCTCAGGGTTTTTTTTTTTTAAAGGAAATACTTTTAAGGCATAGACTATACGTGGAAAAATAAATTATGGCAAACTTGTTTGGTTGAGTGGTTGTTTCTAAGATAAACCAGCCGTCGGCTTTCTGGACAAACAGGAAAGATAAAATAAAATAAAGGAATGTGCAGGATTAGTGCAATGTTAAACTCTGGCAGGGAAGGTTTTCCCCTGAACCTAGTGTTTAAGCCTACACGCAGTGTCAATGTCGCTATTTTAGCCTACAAGTCCCATCAGCCCCAGCCAGATGGGAGTTGTAGTCCAGCAGCATCTGGATGACCACTCTTGCCCACTCAGGTTTTTTTTTTTAAGGAAATACTTTTAAGGCATAGACTATACGTGGAAAAATAAATTATGGCAAACTTGTTTGGTTGAGTGGTTGTTTCTAAGATAAACCAGCCGTCGGCTTTCTGGACAAACAGGAAAGATAAAATAAAATAAAGGAATGTGCAGGATTAGTGCAATGTTAAACTCTGGCAGGGAAGGTTTTCACTCAGGTTTTTTTTTTTAAGGAAATACTTTTAAGGCATAGACTATACGTGGAAAAATAAATTATGGCAAACTTGTTTGGTTGAGTGGTTGTTTCTAAGATAAACCAGCCGTCGGCTTTCTGGACAAACAGGAAAGATAAAATAAAATAAAGGAATGTGCAGGATTAGTGCAATGTTAAACTCTGGCAGGGAAGGTTTTCCCCTGAACCTAGTGTTTAAGGCACCGTACTGGTCATAATAATAATTAAAAAAATAGTAATAGCAAGAAAGCCTAAGGTGGGGTGGTCCTCCCAGGGGGTCCCCCCACCACCGGCTAAGAAAATCTGGCTCTCCATTTCCCTAGCTGTAGCATTAGCTTGAGAAGGGAGGGGCCGAGTTCGAGAAACCTGGCCAGCACCCACTGTGGGATCCTTAAGAAGCCAAGAACATCATCACCCTTCGGCTCTGCCTGCCAAAGTTCACCATGAAATAAAGATGCAACAGGGGCCTGGACTTTCACCCAGAACCCATTCTTGCTTAATACTAGAACAACTATCCTTTCTTAGTCCTGGAATTCCAGTCCGGATCTGGAAACAGGATAGGATTTGTGCTCCTCAAATACTGCCCTCTTCTCCTCCTTCCTGCGACAAAGAGAGAATTCGAACCCACACCTTTCCAGACCCAAACAGCTCCCCCCTGTTGCTGTTCCTTCTGCGGCAGCTTTCCCAGGAGCCGGTTCTCCTGCGACAGACAGGATCCGAAGCCGTGATGACCCACAGAACCTTCATCATGCGTTGCCTCTTTTTTTATATATATATCTATATATCCCGGAGGAAACCTGGAATTCTCTGAGGAACTTAGAATCTTTTGATGTACAAAACAAGGATTACTTTTTTAAAAAACGGAAGGGAAGGCTCCAAAACGATTCCATAAGATCTACTCCCCCCCCGGCTCCTCCAGCTAGGATGGGTTCCGTTTGCGTAAACCCGGCAACGACAAAGCTCACACCCCGGATGTTAAAGCGGGATTCGAACTCAGAACGGTTGAGGAGAGAGGAGGCGTTAAGAGTGGGAAACCCGCTGGGTGCTTAGAGGCTGAACCCGTCTGCATCCCGAACCTAACGCACGCCGAGATCCAGGTCCGCTGGTCGAAATAGACAAATCTTAGCAGTCCGTGTTTGTAGGCACTGACTGCGTGCCCCAAACTGCAGTGGTGGATGTGGCCGTAAGACGCCGATTCAGGAAAGTCCAGGCGGGCCACCTCCGAGCCTCAGGATTCGAGGGCCATGTCCGTGAGCAAGGCCCCGTTATCTGGCCCGGTCGGGGCCGGGAGAGCCGCTGTAGAGTCGTACGGCTTTCCGGCAAATGAGGGCGAACCAGTAGAGCTGAGGGGCGATCAGGAGCCCGTTGGCCACGTTGCAGTGGAAGGGGATGTGAAAAGGCACTCTGTACATGGGCAGGCCCACCTGGCGCCCGTAGGTCCAGTACATGAAGGGGAAAAGGAGGATGCGGCAAATGAAGAAGGTCAGCAGAATAAGGGCTCCGTTGACTTTGTGTAAGAGAGAGTCTTGCATTTTTAACTGCAAAAAGGTGTGGGGGAGAAAGAAGAAAGCAAACCAAGATTTAGAAGATGGGGAAGAGAGAACCATCATTCCAAGCAAGACAAAGTGGGGTTGTTTTGTGGTCTGACCAATAAAAATGACAAACAAGGCAAGCTTTTCAGTTCTCACAGCACTCTTCATCAGGAGAGTTCTGAGCTCACCAGATGAAGCATTCTGTGAGATCATGCAAGCTATGAAATTAGAACTCAACTTAGAATGCGATTTCTCTCTCTTTCGGTCACACCCACCCATATCCATATTTTGCTTCTGGAGATTCGAAATGAGGAAAGGTCTCTTAACTGCGGTGGGTCATAGGTTTCTTAAATCCCATGGATCTCATTTCCACAGAAACCCAAGTCCCACCAGACAGACAAAAAAATTGGGGTTTTTTTGTTGTTTGTTTTTTGTGTTTTTTTGCTGGGATTCTGTGGTCCTTGTGATTTATGGAAAGGTTTAAGGGAGAGAGAGAGAAAATGCAATTGTATTTTTCAGAGCGAACCCAACCGACAAATAACAATCTTGTTAGTAATTTTTTTTTTTTAATGTAGGCATGCCATTGTAAAATAAATTTTACGGATGCTGCAGAACTATAAAAAAGTGTAAAAGGCGGCTGCAGGACAATATGGGGAGTGTCCCAGCCATTCTTGGAAAACTTGGCATTTCAGCCGGGCTATTTGTACATCATCTCCTGGGGGGGGGGACGAGTGAGCCACGAGAAGTCATGGCCCTCCATTTATTGGGGGGTGTCAAAAGTTAAGAATCTGGGAGGGCCCCGCTGAGCCTCTGGGTGAGTCTCTGTTCTGGACTCGCCACTCAGCCACCACCGGGCGGATCAAATTCCCAACCCTCTTAAGCGGACTAGGTTTATGAATGGACCTCTCTCCGTGTGTCGGATGCTTGCTCGCTGGCTTCTAAGACCTGGATCTTTTCAGTAGCGGCCTCTCTATTTGGGGCGACACAAAAGGGACGAGGGCCTCTCGTGTGAAGCCAGCAGCCGAGGAAACAAAGAGAGAAATTGGAGGTGGCCCTGCTCGAGAGAAGGTCCCTGGGGATGCTGTTTACCTGCATGAGGATCTTGCCCAGTGACACGAAGGGGGTGCTCAGCTCCGCCGTGTAGATGCAGCCGACAAAGAAGTCCCCCAGCTCCCCTCGAAGGTGCTGCGAACAAACAGGGAAAGGTTAATTTTCAGGGTCTGTAAAAATAAAATTAAGGAGAAGGCCCACCTCTGGCCAATTCTGGCGCTGAGCATCGCGAGATTGGCTCGGCGCTGCTTTTCCAGACCCGAACAGACTCTCTCTCTCTCTCTCTCTCTCTGACCCGCAAGAGAGTCACCCACCACAGCCACTGGCGTGAGGACGATGATGATGAAGAGATGATGTGTGACCATCAGTTTTTCTCTCCGCAGGAAACTCTGGATGCTGACCAGGGAGTGTTTCCTTGTAGCCGGCCCCTGCTCCTGGCTCTTGTGCCAGTGGCACAGGTACATGACGTAAATGTCATAGACCATGTAGGCCACCACGATCCAGATGTACTCGCTGGCGAGCCAGTGCCTGGGGTGGGTGAGAGGAGAGAGAAGCACAAAAGGGGGTTGAAACTGGAGGCGTCACTGGCGTGGGACAATCAGGACTGTGCCGCTAGGTGCCTATCCTTATGTTGTGATGTGCCGTCAAGTTGCCCCCAACTCATGGCAACGCTATGAATGAGTGATCTCCAAAATGCTCTGTAAATAAACCCTGCTCAAGCTTGTGGCTCCTTTCAGGGAGTCTGTCCATTTCGTATTTGGCCTTCCTCTTTTCCTATTGCTTTCAGTTTTTACTAACATTATGATATTTTCCAGATCATCCTGGCTTCTCATGGTGTGCCAAAGTAGGGCAGCCTCCGTTTCAACATTGCTACCTCCAGAGAGTTCAGTCCACCAAGAGGTGACATTTTTCACCTTCCCCTCCTGTGGCCACTTACACAACTCGGAAAAAGTTTAAACCGTCCACCCCAGAGGGGGGGGTCATCCCCCTGCCCTCGGAAAATTCTGATGTTAAAAACCCCAATCGTCATTGCTGTGTTATAATAATACTGAATTATGATTTCAGCGCGGTTCTGTAATATTACCTGCACACAATTTGACTCCCAACAATAGACCTAATTAGTAATTAGATGCAATTACTGCAAATTAAAAGCGCAGTTAAATGACGGTGTACGTTGCGTTGCCAACGGCATGGGGCCGCGTGGCCCTGGATTCGAGCATGCTCTTAAGGTGCTAGATTACAATTCCCATCACCCCTGTGGGGGGGAGGATGGGAGTTGTAATTCAACGCCCATAGAAGGCGCTACTTGCCTGCATTTACTCTCTCTTCCCCCCACCTTCCGCCTGTTTTGTGTTGACTCGTAATAATCTTTACAAGTTGTTTTTTAAAATAGTGTTTTAGGATCTTCATCGCTGCCCGACAACACACGGCCCCTGGTCCTGTTTTAAGATCCCTGTCTTGAAAGATCTGTTGATGTATTGTTGGGAAAAATTACGAGGAAAGAGTAAGGAAAGCCCACTTCCTAGCTTACGATGCTGCAGAAAGAAGGAGACCTATATAAAGCGACGTCCGGTGTTCCCCTTTAAATCAAACCCTTCCCTCCTGCTAGCTTGGAAGGACAACAAGCCCCATCACTCAAGCCCAGAGGGCTGCTCGTGTGAGGGTGATGGGCAATGGAGTAACGCGCCAGGCAGTTCGCTTGGATGTGGTGTAAAGCCGCGTCCTGCTTCGGACGATGGGTTTTCGAAGCGAAAAAGGAAGCGCCCGTCAAACGGGGAGAAAGAGGAAATGGAATATATTTCTGGACAAAAGAAAAAGGCACACACACAGAGGAGGCTTTTATGTTGCCACATCGCTGAGCAGAGCTTCCTACAGGCCATAAAATTCATGACCTGAAGCCATTAACGCTCCGTTTCCTTGTTCATATCTGCTTGCATGGGCTTTGTTCTGTTGTGCAATCAAATTTCTCTCCAACCTTTCCTCAAAGGGGCAATACGAGGCTTTAGGAGGACAGGCTGAGCCCAAGACCATTCCGTCAATTTTGTTAGTCCCGTGAGGACTCGAACCCAGACCTTCCGCTCCTCCTCTTTAACCACTACACCGCACCGCCTTCAGCCATAACACTCATAAGGCAGTAAGACTCTAGCCTAGCTAGCCAACCGTGAGAGCCCTCTTCAGGCAAAGAAGGGGAACAGCAGTGTCCACCACCTCGGATTTTCTGATTGGTGGGCAGAAAGAAGAAGCCTGTGGATAGGCCAGGTCTGGAATAAATACTCAGTGAGCCTCTGCCAGCCTTCACTTAGTTGACAAAATGGGATCTGGTAGCTGATCCCAAGAGCTGCAGCACATCGGAAATGATTTTCCGCAGACCCTGTTGACAACACAATGCGAAACTCAAAAATGCAACCTAAGCACAGTTAATACCCACAGGTGAATGCCCTCACCTGAGCCCAAGGTGTATCTGCTTTTGGATTTACCATTTCCCCCGTTTTCAATTACCTGTCGTGTACGACGTCCTTGCAGCTTAAGATAACGATGACTCCGGAAAGGGTCGCCATCGTGGCTTGAACCGATGAAACCAACCTGTGGGAAGGGAAAACATCAGAATAAGCAAGATACATTTATAGACGCTGGTTGCAACGCAAAGACACAAATTTATTTGCTTGATATCCTGTGATTTTTAGGATTAGGTTATATAGGTAGCAATTTTTTTAATGGGCTAGATTTAAAAAATGTATATAACTTATTCCAACATGTTGTTACCCTTGAATTTATAATAGCCCTTCATCAGGAAGACCAACAACAGATAGACATCAAAGTTTTAGGAAACGTCAAAGTTCCTCCAACATGTAATGATCTCAATATATTTTATACATCACTCTCACACAAGCACACACCCCATTCCTTTAAAAAAATGCAATTTAAAACACATCTGAGACCAGTAAGTTGTGCTGATGTCCAGAACCAGTCAATCCCTCCAAAAGTCGCTGAAATTTGCCAAAAAAACACATAAAACACCTGTATTATTAGCCAGCCATTAAGATTTGTGCTTGGCAAGTGAAACTCCAACCCACACAATTATCTTTGCATAGAGAAGGGAGAGTGGTTTCCGACATGATCATAACTGTTTTTTTAAATCAACAATGAAAATTCATGAGACATATCGCAACGGGTAAGGTTAAATAAACTCTCTCTTTCTGCTTGGGAAAGTTCACCGATTCGGTCTGTCGTCCTTGATGGAGAACCGGCTGGGCTGCCATGGAAATGAGGAGAGCTTTTTCCTTTTCCAACGGGCGGGCAGAGCGCCAGTCCTTCCGTCGTTACAAACTCGTATGGAGTTACCGGGGGGGGGGGGGGACTTCCCGCATGAAAAAATATTTTTAAAGGTGGGGGAGTCCTTAAAGCCAGAAAAGAGAAACACTCCCCCATCCAAAATGATTTAAGGAAGGCCGTGCATGCTTAACGGCCTGGCCACGGAGGCTGGAAGAGGCAACATGAGGACACTTGAGGAACGGGAGAAGGTCACAGGGTCTCCTGGATAAGGGACCAGAAGGGACGTTCTCTGTACTGCAACACTGGGTTGCAGTTCCAAACAGGAACCACTGAAACGGACAAGAATCGCCCTGGCATGTGCCACTTCCAAAATGAAACAGGATGACTGTGAGTTCACCTAAATACCCAGCATATTTTCCAAAAAGGGCATGCATGTTTATTTATTCATTTATTTATTTATTCGCTCATTCATTCATTCATTCAATGTCTTGCAGCCGTCTGACCAAGGCAACGTAACTCCACCACAGAACAAACAATTTAATATTACGGCGCCAGGAATGGGAAACAGATGCCCTTCCAGAAGGGGTCGGACTCCAGTTCCCATCATTCTTCCCCAAGGCGGGCTTGAGCTGGCAGGGGTTGCCGTCCGATGACGCTCAGAACTTTTCTTGACTGGCGTTTTTCTCTCTCTCTTTTTGCACTGTGGTTTTAGCCGGTTCTTAATATTTTCCCTGCAGATCTGTTTTCATATGGATTTTGCTGCTAGTGCTAAATGAAGCCTCCTTATTCCTAGGCAGTCTACCTCACAATATCAATTAACAGGGAGGACAAAGGGAAGACACTGAGACTTTTCCCAGGTTAGGAGTCAGCCCTTAGCCTGAACAATTTCGCTGCCGGCAACCTAAGATTTCCCGTTATGCACCGTCAAGTTGTCTCTGATGAGACAACTTGACGGCCCACAAATTAAATTAAAAAGTTTCCCTTTAAATTAACGTCACCCTATAAATGAGCAATCTCCAAAATGTACTGTCTCCAGCAGCTCTGCAAGTTAGCTCTTGCAAACTCAACCCAGTGGAGTCCTTTTATGGAGTCCATGCATCTCGTATTTGGTCTTCCTCTTTTCCTACTGCCTTCAGTTTTTACTAACATTACAGTCTTTTCCAGAGCATCCTGCCTTCTCATGATGTGCAAAAAGTAGGACAGCCTCATCATTTTTGCCTTCAGAGATCCTTCAGGCTTGATTTGATCTAGGGCCCCCTTGTTTGTTTTTCTGGCCGTCCGGGGAAATCTGCAAAGCTCTCCTCCAGCACTACATTTCAACTTAAGATCAGCACAGCGCTTTCCCACCTTCAGACACTCGATAAATGCTAGCAAATCGTCACTCCTGCACAATAACCCTATAAGGTAGGAAAGGAATATTATTTCCCCCATACTGCAGATGAGATGACGGAGGCATTGAATTCTTAAAAGCCCTGCAAGTGAGGTTGTAGCTGGGTGCGAGATCGAATCCAGGGACTCTGCTTTGGAGCGATTGTTTGAAACGACTGGGGTGGCAAAGAAGAATAAGTAAACAAACTTTTACAGCCTTCCGCCAACATTTTTAAACTTGAACGGGCAAGGTCACCATGTCCCGATATCCTTAAATCAACAACGGGGCTGGCTTTTCATAGATTCCGTCTCCCACAGAATCGTACCCAGTGTTGTGGTTTCTGGCCCGGCTTCTCCCGAAACTCAGCAATGAAAAATAAACAAATATCACGGGTGAGACAGGCCGCTTCCTGAAAATTAGGAAACCAGCAGCAGAGAGCGGGGATGGTTTTTAGCCAACTCTCCCCCCCCCCAATGCCCCGTGGCCCTCTTTTCTTTGGGAGATTTCTAAAACTTTTTGAAGCATTTCCTGGACTTTGAATTTCTTTCGTTATTTTTTTGGAAAGGAAAGCGGTAAGCCTGTTTGGGGAAGTTGGCGACGGGGCCCTTTTCGGGAGGGAGGGGTGGTTCACAGGGCAAGAACGCATGGGCTGTGCACCTGCTCCACCCAGCGCCGTACGTGGAGCCGGACTACAAGCGCCCAAATCCCCCACCCAGCAAAAGAACCTGCTGGCGGGCAGATTCTGGGAAATACAATCTAAAGAAGGTATCTTTATAAAAATGTGGGCTTTATGCGCTTAGCTGGCTGGTGAATCAGTTGGAGCTGCTTAGACAGGCCATACCGATGGTTGGTTTTGATTTGAGTTAAGAGGGTTGGGCTAAATGACCTCAGGATGCCTTCTAGCTCCACCGTTCTATCCATGTTATAGTGACCAGGGCATTCCTCCTTATTCTTCTTTTTTTTTGGGGGGGGGGAACACCAGTGAATGATAAGTTATACAGTAATCTTAAACCTCATATAGAGCCCCCAGCTTCAGCAGCAGTCTATCTGAATGCAAATCACCAAGCAGCCACGTAGTAGAAGGAGGGGGCTGTGGCTAATCCATCCTTGCTTTCATGTTCTCCAGACCGCTCCTGTGGGGGCAAACGGAGTGATGGACAGGTGGTGGAACGCACAACGGTGAAAGCACCCGGTCTTCCAAAAATGGGGAGAAAAAAAAAGCTTTGAAAAGCCCATTAGGTCATGCTGCCCCGGGGCATTTTGAGAGCTAAGCCATAAGCCCCTATAAGACTAACAAACAGGGTTGTCACATTTGAGAAAAATATTTGGGCCTCCTATTCGGCCACATAATGCAAAGGTGCAAGGAGATAGATTGCTCCTGATCTATTTGCCCACATAAGGGCCCTCTGGGCGGCGTATGCTGGTCTTATGGAACTCCCTGCTACAAGCTTTATTCGCCTAGAAGGCTATAAGGGGGAATTCTAGCAAGGAAGAGCAAGGCTACATGTTAAAAGGGGAAAAGTAAACCCAACCGAAGCAGTTTGTTAATACTGCAATTCCTCTTTGCTTTCTTGCGTGTTCACTTTACCACCGTTTCTCAATGCTCCTCCTGACATTTCTAAACCAGAAGCCAACTGGATCAACGGGCCAGCAGCAACCACAGAGCTAAAAGGTCTGCACTGTGGAAATCAGATGCATAAAAACCTTGAAGTCCCATCCCTGTTACTGGTGAGAAAACGTATCGTAAGAGCAGAAAAAAAATACATTTTCTCCAGGGTGCAATCACGACAGGACTTGCTTTAATGTTGCAGAGAATTCTGCCACAAAGCAGAATTTCTGGATTTTCTCTCCCCATCATGCAGAGAGAGAGACGTTCCAGAAAGGCGAACATCTCCAGTCGCTAGCTTCCCCCAAACAGCAACACCTCAAGCCGCTAGACCTCAATGAGCCCAAAAGCCTTTGTGAAAGTCACAGAAGAACCTGTTATTAGACATGCCCATTGAAAATTTCTGATGGGTCTGGAAATCACAAGTTGCTAGCCGCCGGCCATAGGGACATCGCAAGCCGCTAGACCTCAATGAGGAGATAGCATCTCTCTTCTGGGTCTCCTTCAGTCACTAGTGTTCAAGGCCAGTATTCTCCCACAGTCATCATAACTAGTTAGAGGAGGTAATTAAGATGACAAATTAATCTCTAAAAATTGTGCCTTCGCCCTGAAAAGGGCACCTATTTGATGCTGGATTAATCTCGCGTGAAGTAACTGACATACCACAGTGAGAAGGGAAAGGTATTACGAGTGATGTGCTGTTGTTACATGCTATCGTGTCAAGGCCACGGCTTCCTTTACTGAGTCTATGCATCTCACTGCCAGTATTCCTCTCTTCCTACTGCCTTGAACTTTTCCCTGCAAGACTATCTTTCCCAGGAAGACTGGTTGGGCAAGACTAAGGTCATAGGGTTCAATTTAAGGACACCGTAGCTGAAATCCTGCGCCCATCCAATGCAAGGCTGACAATCCACACAGGCAACTTCAGATCCTTAGTGGTGTATTAGCCACCAGCAAACACCTGTAAACTGTGTTAATATCCCCAAAACTTCCCAAGTGCTTTCAGACGGCAGATCTGCATCTCATTCATTATTTTTTCTGGCTATTTGTTCAAAAGCTGTGTTGGGCGCCTTCTCAAGTAAAATCCAACATAAAACTTTAAAAATAAAAACAGAAGTAAGGGCATTCACATATTCGTGCATGGCTCTGTCAACAAAGGATATGCCTAAAAACGGGTTTTAAAAGGTTTGTGCTCAGAGTTCGAAACTCTTATCTGTTTTTCTGTTCTTGGTTGTTTCTCTTGAACTCAGGGCCCCCTCCTTCAATGCTCCCACCGGCCTTGGGAAAGCCACATCCTCTCCTGATTTGCTCTAGCACAGAAATTGTAACTCTGAGCAAGGATCCTCTCCTGTGCAATAACATCCATTAACATGCTTTCTTGATGTCGCTCTTCAGTGATAATTGCTTCATAATTACATACTGCACTGTGTGATACAGAGAAGGAGAGGGAAATGCCCCTCCCTGATATTTTAAAAACTTGTTTATTCACCTTATCTACTTATCTCCTTCATTAATGACATTTATAGCCCCATGATGTGATGTTTCCAATGCCTTTCTGGTGCCACAGAGCTCTTGGTTTGGCTTTCTGCACAGCCTGCCTGTTGAAGAGCCCAGTGTCAATACAAAAGGCTGCTTCATTCTCACAAGCAACTGTTATAGCCCTCCCAACCAAGGCTTCTACAGCTGGATAGTTTCCTCTTTTTAATCTCTGCCCTTCCCATCGGGGCTGTTTACTGAGGAGCCCAGTGAAACCCAGAAGCCTGCTTCACTCAATCAACAAGCATCACTGTGTGGAAGAGGTTGTGGTTGTGGTTGTTGTTTTACATCCATCCAGGGTGCCTTCCTGCTCTCCTGCTTCCACCTCCCCACAAGCAGGGCTTCTTGATCCTTCCCTCCAAAGGTCGAAGATCCTGGTGCAACCCAGAAAGTGGGTTCATTCAGTCCACCACAGTTATCCCCCTTGGCATAAAATCTTCCAGGCCCTGCGTGGGTACAGCCTGCCTTCTCTCTCGCTCACGTTTCCATCCTGCTTCTCTCCTCCCCCAAGTTGCCAGTTAATCGAAGAACCCGGTGTCACTCAAAAGCCGGCTTCATTTTCCCAAGCAACAGGTGTTGCCCAGCGAAGGACGATCTGGCCATCCTTCTAGCAGTTTCTGCGTCTGTATTTCCTCTCCCCCCCCTCCCATTTCTCCCGCGTTGGTTGTCCTCTCCCTTCCCCGTGCCCGTCGAGGAGCCCAGTGCGACCCGGAAGCCTGCTTCCTTCGGACCGACACCAAAGCACCGCCGCGGGGGCGGATCCCACTTCCTCCCCTCGGCCCTTCCACGACCCCGAAGGTCCAGCATCCCCCTCTCAGGGCCTCGATCCGGGCCCCCAGCCCTCCGCCGTCCAACGCCGCCGCCGCCTCCGA